ATCTTATGTTTGCATGAAATGAATTTATCTTAACATAAAACGAAGTCGTTTCATGTTAAGCATTCCTTATTTTATATCAGATATTGCAAAAAACGATTTCGTTATATGCTAATCTTAGCATAAAGCAAATTTAAAAAATTTATTTGCACGTGCCCTGAACATATTTATCTTAATACAAGCATGTTTGATCGGCTAAAAATACTTTCCGCTAATTAAAATATAATTCCCAACACACTTCCTACACATTTTGGCTCATTGATCGAGGCGATTGAGAACGCCTATAATATACTTTAACTGTCATCACTTCGATCATACATTATCGTTATTACAAAATTTAATTCAAAATCAAAAAAAGTTACTAAATATTAAAATTAACAATTTATAAAATTAACAATTTATTACAATACCATACCAAATTTAAAATCAATTTAAATTAAAATTTCATTTCAACTCGAGTTACATTTAGATTTCTATTTCAACCCTAAATTTACAATAATTCAATTCTAACATAAAAAAAAAACTTTTTAAAAAAAAACTACTTACAAACTTATTATTTATTTAATAAATATTTTTACTTTGTGCGCAGCTAATCTTATATAATACTGTAATAAGCCTCTTTATATCAACCTCAAAAATTTCAAATTTTATAGCTTTTCAATATAAAAAACATTATATCCTTAGTAAAACAAACTTACTGTAATATTTTCTTTTTTTTTAAAACCTTTCACTTATTTAAAATAATAAATTTGGATCTTTGCTAACAAGATCACCCTTCGGGACTATGTAAATCATAGTAGGATGATTTTGTCAGCAAAGACTCCAATTAATTTTTTATGATATATTAAAGTAACTATACACTACGTAAAAACTTTTTAACCTTACACGGATACCTAATCCGTGCTGGAGGCATGGGTCATAATCCAGAACTCAGATGTACAGTACATGCACATACTATAGTCTTTAATACTCGACATTATATAGTTTTTAACACTCGACACTTATGCTATTGTAAGAGGTTTCATAGTTTTATACATGTACACTCTTATTTCTATCTTAAGAAATTGCGCAAAAAAAAAAATTATATGTATAATTAGTTCATATTTTATTATTAATTGTCGCAGATCATAATTTAAAAATCTATATTTTCTATTCAACCTCCTAACCTTCTAAAACCCACTTATACTTGTTTAATATATTTTACTCTAATCCTAACCCCTATTTCTAACCCCTAACCCTAAAAAATACACGCTAAAAAAATTTATTTTTCGAGATTTTATATTATTATTTCATTTTAATCTGAATTTCATTTTAATCTGCCACATTAATTAATACGTACAGTACATATATATATTCGCTTTGAACTTTTAAAAGATTTATTTATGATATAAATAAAAGTTCGCGTAAACTAACACTCTAACACACATTACCCTTGTTAAATAACTTTTCTTTGATTATTATCACTCAAAAGTCCACAATTTGTAGTTTGGTGCTTCGTAATTACTTACTTCTACATATAGTGACTTGTTATATAAAAGTTGTGGAATTAAAAGGGATTAACTAAATATTTTATTTAAAATTTTATTGGCTCAAATGGGTTTCTTTTTTGAAGTAAAATCAAATGTAGCCTAGTTCAAGTTACATATGAGTGCTGATAAAATAAATTTTATTTATTGGGTTTTTTTGCATTGAAAATCACCTCCGGTTCATGTTTATGTGTAAATCATCTTTTATCTTTATTGATTTAATATTCATAAAAAAGCATTCTGGTGTACGTAATGACAGGCAATTTACAGATTTTCTCAGTATCTTGCATAGAATAAAGGTGAACAATTTATGGTGGCGCAAACTAGAACGAACGTGTAGAAATCACGTATGGTTTGTAAAAGAAAAAATTCATCAAACCAAAAATTATTTTATCAGCACTCATATGTAACTTGAACTAGGCTACATTTGATTTTACTTCAAAAAAGAAACCCATTTGAGCCAATAAAATTTTAAATAAAATATTTAGTTAATCCCTTTTAATTCCACAACTTTTATATAACAAGTCACTATATGTAGAAGTAAGTAATTACGAAGCACCAAACTACAAATTGTGGACTTTTGAGTGATAATAATCAAAGAAAAGTTATTTAACAAGGGTAATGTGTGTTAGAGTGTTAGTTTACGCGAACTTTTATTTATATCATAAATAAATCTTTTAAAAGTTCAAAGCGAATATATATATGTACTGTACGTATTAATTAATGTGGCAGATTAAAATGAAATTCAGATTAAAATGAAATAATAATATAAAATCTCGAAAAATAAATTTTTTTAGCGTGTATTTTTTAGGGTTAGGGGTTAGAAATAGGGGTTAGGATTAGAGTAAAATATATTAAACAAGTATAAGTGGGTTTTAGAAGGTTAGGAGGTTGAATAGAAAATATAGATTTTTAAATTATGATCTGCGACAATTAATAATAAAATATGAACTAATTATACATATAATTTTTTTTTTTGCGCAATTTCTTAAGATAGAAATAAGAGTGTACATGTATAAAACTATGAAACCTCTTACAATAGCATAAGTGTCGAGTGTTAAAAACTATATAATGTCGAGTATTAAAGACTATAGTATGTGCATGTACTGTACATCTGAGTTCTGGATTATGACCCATGCCTCCAGCACGGATTAGGTATCCGTGTAAGGTTAAAAAGTTTTTACGTAGTGTATAGTTACTTTAATATATCATAAAAAATTAATTGGAGTCTTTGCTGACAAAATCATCCTACTATGATTTACATAGTCCCGAAGGGTGATCTTGTTAGCAAAGATCCAAATTTATTATTTTAAATAAGTGAAAGGTTTTAAAAAAAAAGAAAATATTACAGTAAGTTTGTTTTACTAAGGATATAATGTTTTTTATATTGAAAAGCTATAAAATTTGAAATTTTTGAGGTTGATATAAAGAGGCTTATTACAGTATTATATAAGATTAGCTGCGCACAAAGTAAAAATATTTATTAAATAAATAATAAGTTTGTAAGTAGTTTTTTTTTAAAAAGTTTTTTTTTTATGTTAGAATTGAATTATTGTAAATTTAGGGTTGAAATAGAAATCTAAATGTAACTCGAGTTGAAATGAAATTTTAATTTAAATTGATTTTAAATTTGGTATGGTATTGTAATAAATTGTTAATTTTATAAATTGTTAATTTTAATATTTAGTAACTTTTTTTGATTTTGAATTAAATTTTGTAATAACGATAATGTATGATCGAAGTGATGACAGTTAAAGTATATTATAGGCGTTCTCAATCGCCTCGATCAATGAGCCAAAATGTGTAGGAAGTGTGTTGGGAATTATATTTTAATTAGCGGAAAGTATTTTTAGCCGATCAAACATGCTTGTATTAAGATAAATATGTTCAGGGCACGTGCAAATAAATTTTTTAAATTTGCTTTATGCTAAGATTAGCATATAACGAAATCGTTTTTTGCAATATCTGATATAAAATAAGGAATGCTTAACATGAAACGACTTCGTTTTATGTTAAGATAAATTCATTTCATGCAAACATAAGATGAATTCACTTTACCTTTGAAGATTAAAAAAAAAAAAAAAAAAAAGATGAATTCACTTTGTGCTAAAAACATAAAAACAAATTCATTTTGCTAAGTTTATTATTCTTAGCATAAGCTTAATGAAAACTTTATCTCTGCTTAAATCGACATATCTACACAATATCAATATAATGTCGGTATAGATAGAGATGCTTATTAAACTGACATCTGGATATATCAACAATTTTTTTCCAGCTGAGAGTTTTAAATAGGCATATTTTAACAATAACATGATCAATTTTAATATTTGAAGATTTTTTCAAAGTTTATATATCCGTAGAATTTAAAAAAAGTCCTCAAATATCAAAATTGATTATATTATTATTATTATCTTTATTTAAAATACAGTATAAAGAAATTTGATGATTATTAAATTTTGAAATACTAGAATAAATTTTTTCTAAAAATTCATCTTAACAATAATGTGTCTAAATAAACTAATAAAAATTTTAATTAATGATAACCACACAGAAGTTAAAAATATATATATTAAACTGCTGCTTCAGAAATAAAACCACTTTTGAATTTTACAATTTGTTACTACAGTTGATACTGCCTAAATCAATTTTAATAATATGCATTTAGGTTGTTCTCAAGCACTTCCCTCTATGATCGATAAAGTGATCCGATTGGCTGAAAAAATAAATCGTGTTTAATCATTTCGGTCAAAAAAACCTGGAGCTAACAACCATCTTTTTTTTTCATAGAGTTACTCCGATTGGCTGAAATTTAAAATCCATATTTCGCACAATGAATTTTCGGCAAAATTGTTACAGGGATCACTTCAACTAATCGAAATGATTGAGCAGCATCTCGATCACTTGCAAATTACATCGAGGGAGCTGCTTGAGAACAACCTTAGACAATTGATTCTGTAAAATCTGATTGGTGGAAATAATTTTTGTGATATGCATTTTCACTGGTGATACAGTATCAACTGTATTCCAAAATACAAAAGATAAAATCTCTAAATAGTACTGTATGATTTTTAAATACTTTTTTTATTCTTTATTTTTACTTCTTCTTCTAACTCTTTGAGCAGCGTTTCCAACACCTTCCCTAGCCTCTAAATTCATATAAGGTACTCTTTTCCATGGCACGCCACAAACACCTGTTGAAACATTATTTGAATGATCTAGCATGAAACATGTAGGTAAGTCCAATGACCCCTTTACAATGAGACATGTTTTCTGTAACTCTACATAGGAAAGTGGTGTTAGAATATGAAAGGTGTGAGCAACTGGATCTATAGATCGTATAATAGCAAGTCCTAAAAATGAGTATTCAGAAGGATCTGGAGGTGGATAGTCTGGACATGGAAAATAACGAGGAGGCTGCTATTATTTAGAATAGATTTTAGTTTTACGACATTAGAACATATTAACACATAATTGTTAAGGAATACATACAATATTTCTTCCTTTTTCTTGTGATGTTTCTGATTTATCAGCAATTTCATCAACAATTTCATCAACCATTTTATCAGCAACTTCATCAACCATTTCATCAACTATTTTATCAGCAATTTCATCAACCATTTTATCAGCAATTTCATCAACCATTTTATCAACCATTTCACAACTTTCGTCTACATCTACATCTAGAATATTTCCAACTAAACCAACAATTGAACCATTTAAAGCATACAAAAGTTGACTCCAAGGAACATCACCAGAAAAAACGAAAACACCCTTTGTCAGTCCTTTAGTCCAGTCCAAACACCATGGAGAATGATGAATCAATGGCTTATCAAATTGCCACCATTTGGTATTTTCTTGTTTTGATAGCATAGCAGGTGTAGAATAAAAATAAGAAAGCAAAGCTAACGTACGGTGATCTGCAGCTGTATATTTAGTTAAAACTTTAGAAGGATCAATTGCTTCAACCAAAGCAATTTTAGGTGGATCTTCATTTGGGGGAGATATAACAGAAGTGGGAAATGGTGGAAGATTTTGATATGAATGAATTGATGAGTAGAATTGATATAAATGTGTTGGCTTAGTAAAGTCAAGGATACGAAGAAATAGGTCATATCCCATTCCTGTAAATTCATAAAAATAATTAGTCTTAATATTTTATCGATTCATATATTATTCTGAATACCTTTTATCCACCCGTGCGTATTTAAAATTAATGGTATACGTTGTAACTCTTCGCCCGCATGCATGCCAAAGTCTGGACCACAAGCGATATCTCGACGATAAACAATTACCAATTCACGTAAACAATCCAAATAATAATCGGGATCGTCGAGAGGAGTATTGCTACCAATATAATAAGATCTATAAGGTTGTTGGATGTGAGTAAATGGCGGTCCTATTTATAAATTGTTTATTAGAGCAAAGATGAACAAGAAAGGGACGAAAAAAATCAAATTACATACCAAAAATAGGAGAATTCAATATATTGAGAGATATGGAACCCGATGGCGTAAATTCTGATTGTCCAACATCGCTTTCAATATAAGCGACTTTAGGACAGCTGATTTAGTAATAAATATTATATACCAAAATTAAAATTTGCGGACATAATAATTTTATCATGCAGATCATCTAATAACAAATTGATACCATACAAATTAAGTAGATTGTTAAGCAAATATCTAGCAAATGTTGATTTTCCAACGTTTCGATGTCCACAAATAACGAAAATAGGTGGCACATCTAATATTAATTTAAAGCTATTATTATCGAATTAACTGATCAAACTTAATGCTTTTTAAAGCACATACTATAATTAATTACATCAGTAGCAAGCTGATTCGCTGCATTCAGCCAAGAATCAGAAATCTGAAGCAATGTTAGTCCAGATATAACTTCAAAAATCTAAGAAAGGATTATTATTATCAAAAATAAAATTTAATAATATAACATCCAGTTGAATAATTCAACTATACCGGATAAAAACCAGGAACTTGGAATAAATTTCTCTTTATAAAAATGGTTTCATCACTTTGATTATTCCTGGATGAATTTACGTATTCGGCCGTAAATACACCTTTAAAGCATGATGATGATATTTTTTCTATTCCTTGAATACCACTCCATGTCATTTCTCGGAAAGCTAAGATGGTATCAAAATTTTTTTTGATGAAACCGGATTTTGTCAAAAGATCATTAACGGTTTCTTTAACATTCACTGAAACTTTAATTCCGCGGTTTGAAAATATTGGTGTATTTTCTCGTTTTTCAACGGATTCTATGGAAACTAAAGCGTGGGTTTTTGGTGAATATACTGGATGAAAGATGAAATCATCGTTATAATTGAGGATCGTGGTTTCATCCGTAAATTCCATGCTATCTTGCAGAGTTGATACACCATGTAATCTGTGACCCATAATTATAACGTCTCCCAATATTAGTGCGATCAGTACACAACCCTGGAAGTTTATTGTCTTCAAAAAAAAAAAGGATGATGTTATAATAATATTCTTTACGTAATACGGCCTATATTGAATTTTGTTAATGTCAAACCTCGCCATGTTTCATCCCCACCAAGCACATTTTAGACATATCAGTTTTCCCCGTATAATGAAAAACGTTATGATCCGACGGTTCGAAGCGCGAAACCGTAGAAGGATCCAGGATATGGTTGTTAGGCAAAGCCATTTTATGCAATGGCGAAAAACGAAAGACGATACCCCTGGCGAAACGGTGAAACCCCTGCGAAAGTAGAAACTTTTAAACTTTAAAAAGGCGAAATTTTAAGTTGGAATTATCGATACAGTGGTAAATTGGGTTGAAATTAGAGATGGTGATCGATCACACCATAACTAATTTTTTTTTTTATTATCAATGCGATCGATTATAATAAAATTGAATGTAGTAAACCATATCGATAATCAAAAAATTTTGATCGATCACCATCAAAGTTTAATGTATAATGTCAATATTAGCAAATCATATTTGATGAAATTATCCAAGTGACAGACGGCCAATAAAAAAAACTTCAGTCATGTTATACTGCGGGCTTTTGCTGTGATTGGCCAATTTTTGTAGATCATCCCGTGATATCATAAAAATTTTATTGGTTAATCGAAATTTTAAACTTTCAACTAAATCGACACGAATAAAAAAAATAATATGTACAAAAGTAATTATATCTATGATTAAATTAATACTGGCAGAAGTGCAGAAGTCTTTAACGTGAAATATTGATAAATTCAAATCTAAAACTATACTGCTGTTATGAACAAAAATTGACAAACCAAGTTTTATTAAAGAGTCCTAGCGTACTATAGTATGAATCAAAAAAGAAAAAGAAAAAGGGAAATAAAAAAATAAAACAAAAAAAATACAATAAATATTTAAATCTTCAAATCTATTCTAAAATAGTATGTAATAATAAATAATAATAATAATAATAATAAACAGAATCAATTTTTAACGCTCGCTCTAATATCAAACTGATCTTTACTTTTATTTTAATACTCGTTATACAGTTACGGCACTAATACTTCGCTTTAACTCTTAAGAAATCTATAAGCCTTATGTCTCTCAGCTACATATTATTAACCTACAATATAGTCATGTTTCATTGTTAGTTGGGATTACGAAGAATAAGTTCTTACAACTAAAAAAACAGCATAAATTAACGAGTTTAATTGTTTTATTATGCCTATAGGCTACCTCTCATCTAACTTCCAAATTACTTCGCGGATCACCAAATTATTTTAACAGTATATAGAATAGAGGTCGCTATATCTAATTTTTTTTGTTACAACCTTGGCGGTTTTGTACACGTGGCTGCTCAATATATATACTCTAATAAAACCTTTTTAAAGAAAACCCTTTTAATAAAAAACTTTTTATGAAAAAACAACCTTATTATAATAACACTCGAATATTTCAAACAAGACCCTAAACATTGGAGCATTAATGGTTTCTTAAAGCAATACAAAGGAAAAGAATCATTTGAACGTGTACAATCGACATATACCTTAAAGAACTTGATGAGAAATCACTAAAAATAGAACAGAAAATGAAACAAAGAAGGCACAAAAGTTCCTAAATAACTACAAAAAAGAAAGTGAGTAAAAATTCTTCACAACCGCGTTAAGAATATAATGAGAAAATTTTGTTTTTATTTGACAGAAGGACCACATTCTCAGCCGTTTTGGCTGCACGCAATGCTGCAGGGGCGAATGCATCCATGGTAGGAGCTACCACAGTGCCGGTAGTAACACTTCCCCCAATTTCGCTAGAATATCTTCGCACGACTGTCTCATGTGCGAAGATGAAGATGTTATCTAAAAAATTTTAATTCATTAATAATATATTTTATTTATAATAACATTGAACGTGAAAATAATTAAATTGCTTATAGAATTTTTATTTGAGTAGTTTTTGCATTGGATTACCCTCATCACCCGGTCCACTATAAAATGTATAATAAATAGTGAATATTCGCGTCATTGTCATTAACCAACAAAAAAAACATGTCCGGAATAGTCTACGGTTTCATGTTTTAATGCCAGAGTGTATCCTCTTCACCAACTTCCCAGTTGCACACTTTCTAATACAAGAAAGTGCCTCTCTAACGCAGAGAGGGCCAATGTTTTGCTTCAGGAACATCGATAACTGATAGAGGAGAACGTTCAACTATCAAAACAGTTGGCCACGAAGAGCTTTCAATCCTCTATCAGATTTCATTGCACCGATGTGGCAGCGTAATTTCAGATACACTATGACTCAGCAAGTAATCAATGAGAAAACTCACCCTGTATGAATATATTCCATACCAGTCCTGTAAAACGATCAACTCTTTTGAAGCCGATCGTTTTTAATTCCTTTATAATATCCCACTCGAGGATATTTCCCAGCATCATCGGAGAATACCTCACAAGAATGGAAATAACTTCACTTTCAGTACTGGTCATTTTAAAAAAATAAAACTTTTGGAAAAA